CCGAAACGTCTTATCTCAATCTTACCTTCTTTCCTCATTCTGTTCTTCTTTCCTGTATTCTATCGTGCTTTTACTACTCAGGCTTCCAGAGTCAACCTGGATGCTACAATCGGTTTATCCCTTATTCCTTTTCATGTTATCCTCCTCCTCGTTCTCAACTTTATTCACTTGTTGCAATAAGAAAAGATTTGCTAATTTGAATGATCCTGTACGGAAGAACGAGAAAAAAGGAAACAACCATCAGTAAGCAACGTTACTAATGTAATGTTTAGCATACGATTAAACAAGAGCTGATCAAGTAAGTACCAACCGGGACTTTTCGGCGAAATTTCGAACGGAAAAATCCTGGCAGCTGGTCCTTCTTTTTCGCATCTTTCCAGTGCTTCGCTTTGACGTTTGTAAACATTGAAAGGGCCTAACGAGGCCTCAAAAAGACTCTCGAACACCTTTTCCTGAAAAAAAAGAAGGCATTGCAAAAGAAGCAGAAAATATTACCAATAAGATTGGAGACATCACACACTTACATCTCGATAATCGCTGAATGTCGTGGAAAATCCGTAAAAAGCTGGCAAAGAAGAGGCTGCCACAAATCTGCATACTGCCTAAAAAACGTAGCTAGAAAAGAAAAGGTGTATCCTACCTCGAAAAGCAACGACACATTAGATGTGGTTCCACCTGGAGGCACAAGGCCAGTTATGCTGTGGTCTAGCGTGTCACGTTCGGATGTGAAGAGGAGTGGTTTTTTTCTGCTTATATGTGTGCACTGGAGCGTGCAAGTGTAGAATTACTTAGACATATATATGCATATATGTATGTATATGTATACACATATATATATTTATACTAATGTTATACAACGTAACGTTAAATAAGGAGAAAACAATACAAAAAGGGTGGCGAGGCTCTGGGTAGCCAAAGCCCCCAGAAAAGGGCTGTGTGGCGAAATTGCAACTCTGCATGCGGGAGATGGGAGAGGAATGTTTTTATGTCACAGCAATGGCCACAGACCACAAAGACTGCATAACAAAGATTGAACCGGAGGACGGAGATGCTGCAACATAACGATGCAATTGTTCCTTACACAATTTTCAACAAAAATCCATAAATCATTACGTGACCGTTCCTACCAGTCTCTTCACATACAACAGCTCATTGCGTAGTATTCAACGCTACATTATCGAATACTTTTTCATAATCGACGAACAGGCACAACATTTGCACACACTGCTGCCCCTTGATGAGGTACCACACTGAGTAGGAAGAAATGGAGCAGCGGAACAAGTGAAATGATAACCTGCTGTTTCCTGATTTTTCTTTCAGATTTTCGCTGCTTCTGTTCGCTTGTATCATGTTCCCCGTAAAACCAGTATGTGCGATCTTCGTCGTCGAACACATCCAAACCCGCTGTGCAAGATTTCCCGTCACTCATCCTAAAAAAACTGGTACAAATCCCAGGAAATAGCCGCTTATTTTCTAATATTTCATATAATCACGGCGAAACCCCGCTCCTAGTTATCTCAGATGACCCGCAATTAGACACAGCTTCCAGTAGTTCACTGTTCAAAACCCAGTAGGTGTGAGCATGCCAAGCAGTACCACTGAATGGGATATCCACACCAACTTTCTTGAGAGCGGAGCGGGGGGGAGGAGGGGCAGAGGAGGGATCTTGATATTCTTCGCAAAAAATGATATTAATAGTAATGTAACAATCAAAAATAAAAAAATTAACACCGAATATCTTTTTTTTTTTTGAATTCTACGAAAAATACAACCAAATTCGGAAATTACCGAAGTACACAGATCGTAGAAAGTAACGATATCCGCTCCAAATAAATTACA